TGTGTCAAACTTGAAGATGAACTGTAGCTCAGCAGTTTCCTTTGGAGTCTGGTCCTGAAGTTTTTTTGCTGCAGGATGGCTACCTTTAGATCTGCAATTGTGTGTCCAGGGAGATTGAAGTGTTCCCCTACAGGTTTTTGTATGTTGCCATTCCTAATATCTGATTTGTGTCCATTGATTCTTTTACGTAGAGACTGTCCAGTTTGGCTGATGTATATAGCAGTGGGGCATTGTTGGCACATGATGGCATATATTACGTTGGTAGATGTGCAGGAGAATGAACCAGTGACAGTATGGCTGATCTGGTTAGTCTATAAGGTGCCACAGGACTCCTCGCCACTTTTGCAGATTCAGACTAACACGGCGACCCCTCTGATACTATTCATCTTCTCGCTTACATGACCCCAATTCTTCAACTCTTTGGCTCTGATGGACACTCATGGACTTCAGCAGGGTTGCCCACCACAGGTTTAACCCAAGCATTGCAAGAACAACACTCCCTCCCCCCCACACACACACACACACTCGCATTTAATGACTTCTTGTGTGTCTTGAAATAATTATGCTTGGATTGGGATATCGGCTGGAACCTGAACGACCACAAAGCAGAGTTTGGAGGGGCCAATTCTTGGCAACCTTGTGGATATTTCCCAGGCTATCTAAGAAAAGACAGCCTCGTCTCAGAGACGGTGTGTCAGTGGATATCGCCTCGTCCCTGTTTCTGTAGCCTCCGCCCTGGCGTGCCCCATCCCCTGTGCTAACACACACCAGCACACATGGACGGAGGTCTGAAGATGACCCAGTCTGCGGGATGTGTCACTGATACAGAACACCCATCCGAGGCAGGACACAAATTAATCATCCACAGTGGGACTATGCCCACCGCCCCCAATCCCGGGATGAAACTCTGTTCCCTGATCCTCGACAAACCTGGGAAATTGAGTTCCAAAGCACTTGTGAATGGCGCTTTCGCAGAGGGTTAGCTCGTAGACGCTTACATGACCCCAATTCTTCAACTCTTTGGCTCTGATGGACACTCATGGACTTCAGCAGGGTTGCCCACCACAGGTTTAACCCAAGCATTGCAAGAACAACACTCCCTCCCCCCCACACACACACACACACTCGCATTTAATGACTTCTTGTGTGTCTTGAAATAATTATGCTTGGATTGGGATATCGGCTGGAACCTGAACGACCACAAAGCAGAGTTTGGAGGGGCCAATTCTTGGCAACCTTGTGGATATTTCCCAGGCTATCTAAGAAAAGACAGCCTCGTCTCAGAGACGGTGTGTCAGTGGATATCGCCTCGTCCCTGTTTCTGTAGCCTCCGCCCTGGCGTGCCCCATCCCCTGTGCTAACACACACCAGCACACATGGACGGAGGTCTGAAGATGACCCAGTCTGCGGGATGTGTCACTGATACAGAACACCCATCCGAGGCAGGACACAAATTAATCATCCACAGTGGGACTATGCCCACCGCCCCCAATCCCGGGATGAAACTCTGTTCCCTGATCCTCGACAAACCTGGGAAATTGAGTTCCAAAGCACTTGTGAATGGCGCTTTCGCAGAGGGTTAGCTCGTAGACTCCTAGAACCGGAAGGGACCTTGAGAGGCCATCAAGTCCAGTCCCCTGCCCTCATGGTAGGACCAAGCACCGTCTAGATTGTTTCTCAACCAGTGGTATGCATACCCTTAGGGGTACCCGAGAGAAGTCTGGGGGTCCGTCAACACAACTGAAATTTGGAGAAAACTGAATGTTTGTTTTAAGTTTTACAGCACTTTATTATTTGTGTACTTTTTACACCCCAAAATTTCATCACCCACCCGGTTAAGTTGTTTAAACAAATGCATTGCAATGGTAGAAAAAACGTTTGTGTGTCTGAAAACTGTAGGTACTTGGGGTACTTGAGAAACACTAGTCTAGATCATCCCTGATAGATGTCTGTCTAACCTGCTCTTAAATATCTCTAGCGATGGAGATTCCACAACCTCCCTAGGCAATTTATTCCAGCGTTTAATCACCCGGACATCTAGGAAGTTTTTCCTAATGTCCAACCTAAACCTCCCTTGCTGCAATTTCAGCCCATTGCTTCTTGTCCTACCATCAGAGGCTAAGGAGAACCATTTTTCTCCTTCCTCTTTGTAACGCCCTTTTAGGTCCTTGAAAACTGGCTCATTTCAGGGAGACTGACTCCAACCAGAGAAAAGCTCCTGGCAATAACTCTCCTCTGTTGGAACTAAACAGGGTTGAGGAGAGCTGTTAACTTTTTCATTAAAAATACATTAAACGTGTTCATTAAAAATGAATTGCGAGGAGCAAAAGCCACCTGCTGTCCATTTCAGCCTGGCTCTCGGCCCCTCCTTCTTAACTTCTGATTTCAGGGCTAAACTTTCCATGCCTGAAGGTCTGTAACATTTGGGCACCTAATGTGCTCAAATGTTTGATCCATGGCCCTCACTGGCCATGTTTGGTGGTTATCCAAGTAGCTGTAGTTAGAGAACACGTTTGCGTGCCGGTTCAAATGAGAATGGATCGCATGCGTCGAGAGAGACCTTCTCCATGCTTTGGGGTGCTACACACATTCTATTAGGATGGACTTCCTAGAAGAGAGAGTCTAGATAGAGAACCCAGTCTTTTGTGATGCTCATCGCAGATCATTCATGGGCTCTGCATGGTGGAAGACCAAAGGTAAAACTGGCCTGAATTTAGAAAGCCGGGGGTGGGGAGGGTGTTTAGCTCCTGTGGGTCTGTTTGAACATGAATTGCTCTATGTTTAACTGGATTTCTTTTGCCCACTGAAGGAAAACACAACGTGTAATATCTGGGGAAACAACACTGATTACAGAAGGGCACCTACGGAGGAGGACCTTTTGCGGAACCTACACCTGGTATGCCTTTTGCCTCCGCTTTTCCCTCCTGTCTGGGCCCTGTCTCCAAAGCACTCCAGCTCCTTCTGTGCGATCGATACGTGCCCCAAAGCTAGCACGCCCTCAGGGCTGCATGCAAGAAGAGCTGCAGGGAGACAGCCATCCTAGATCTAGGAAGGGCCCCCGGGCTGTGAGCGCTGGGTGTTGTGTAATTAGCCAGAGTCAACGTCCTGTCCACCCTCAGACCTTAGCTCTCCCCTTCGGCAGCATGTGCCCAGAGCTTCACACAGCTGACCTCAGGCTGCGGGCTCCGTGCCGCTCATCAAAGCCGTTTGGATAATGTGTGGGGCTGATTTTGGGTAGAGATGGGCTTCAGCTGAAAGCGCCAATCCAGATTCCAACCCGTCCACATGGCCTGGAGGCTTTGGTGCAGCCCATTGTGCAAATAGGAACCGTCTACCGGCTCCCTCCGGCCTTCCCCATTCCCTCCTCCTTCCAGACCCTGCTCAGCTCTGCTCTAGCCTACAGTTCTGCCCCCAACATTCTCCTCCCTCCACCAGCACTGCCTCCCTGTTCATGCCCTTTTGGATCATGGCTCCGCTCCAGGTCACCATGGTGAAATTCTGGACTAGAAAGGTTCAACCTGTACATCGAGTAAAATAATAATAATGAGACAGCAAAATTCGGAATCTGGGTTGGATTTTACCCCTTTCTCCTTTCCCACACACTGAATCTGAGACACTGGCGCAAACTCGTCCCGTGTCTGATTTCAACATCTTGGTTCTTGTTGAGGCTCCAAACAATAGGTCTGCCTCCCTTTTCCTCCCTGAGTGGGACAGGAGCCAATCAGAGCGGGGCTGCGGTGTCTTTTCAATGGCACCAGTATGGGCTGGGTGGAAGGGTTGTTGAATTATACACACCGGCTGTGTCTAGACTGGCGAGATTTTCCGCAAAAGCAGCTGCTTTTGAAGAAAAACTTGCCAGCTGTCTACACTGGCCATTTGAATTTCCGCAAGAACACTGACGATCTCATGTAAGAAATCAGTGCTTCTTGCAGAAATACTATGCTGCTCCCGTTTGGGCAAAAATCCTTTTGTGTAAAAGCTTTTGCGCAAAAGGGCCAGTGTAGACAGCTCAGATTTGTTTTGCGCAAAAAAGCCCCGATCGTGAAAATGGCGATCGGGGCTTTTTTGCAGAAAAGCGCATCTAGATTGGCACGGACGCTTTTCTACAAAAAGTGCTTTTGCGGAAAAGTGTCCGTACCAATCTAGACGCGCTTTTCCGCAAATGCTTTTAACGGAAAACTTTCCCGTTAAAAGCATTTGCGGAAAATCATGCCAGTCTAGACATAGCCACTTTGGAAATCTGACCACACTGGCCAGGGACATTACTGACATGCCTTCCTCTTCTCCAGAACCACAGTAACTCGGACGTCATCTCCATTGACTGCAACGTCAAATTAGCATCCAATGAAGAAATCAACTTCCGCTTGCGTGGCAATCTGTGGATGGAGTCCCTGAAAGCAGTAAGTGCGGCCGCTGGAGCTGTGCCGAAAACCTGAAAGAGCCTGGAGGTGAAGCTTGACGGGGCAAACCCACCCTGAGCTCTCCGTTGGTCCCAGCAAGTACAGAGCGTTTTGATTCTTGCATTCGCAGCCTGTTTGTTGGGCTGCGATGAACCCTCCATCCTAACCCAGTATCTCCTGAGGATACCCAGTATCCACCATGGAGGATGCAACACGGAGCTTTCCACTGCCCATTTCTTCGTCAACGTGCTTTACTGTGGTTACCGAATGAATCCAACCCCCCTGTGAGGCAGGGAGAGGCTGAAGTCTAGAGCTAACCCTGTGGCTGGTGTGAACTGGTCCAACTCTGACATTACTAGAGACTCCCCTTCCCACCCTAGGGATGAATTTGTCTCATAGAGACTAAGGGGCACAGATGTCAGTAAAGCTCTGCTGAACTTCACCAGCGGGGGATCCAGCCTAGGGCCACATGGACTCTGCTAGCTCAGTCCTTCCGAAAGGTTCTTCCTATCCCTGGCCCGTCTCTGTGGGAGGTGCTGGGGAGGTGCTGAACAGCTAATACTCAGCATGGATGTGTCAAGAACAAATCATTCAAACCCATCAGGTAGCTTCGAATCCTAGAATCCTAGGGCTGGAAGAGACGTCAGGAGTCACCGAGTCCAGCCCCCTGCTCTAGGCAGGACAAACCCCAACTCAATCATCCCAGCCAGGGCTTTGTCTACAGAGAATTAAAAATCTCTAGGGATGGAGATTCCACAACTTCCCTAGGGGAACCCATCCCAGTGCTTCCCACCCTCCAAGGAAAATCGTTTTTTCTAATATCCAACCTAAACCTCCCCCACTGCAACTTGAGCCCATTGCTCCTTGTTCTGCATCCGTCACTACTGAGAACAGCCTCTCTCCAGCCTCTTTCGAACCCTCATTCAGGAAGTTGAAGGCTGCTATCAAACCCCCCTTCACTCTTCTCTTCCGCAGACTAAATAAACCCAAATCCCTCAGCATCGCCTTGTAGGTCTCTTCGTAGCTTTCTTTGGACATGTCTATGCTAGGAAATTATTTCAAAATAACGTATTCCAAAATAATAACGTCCAAAATAACTATTTTGAACAAGCGTGTCCACAGTATGGGGAAGCCTCAAAATTAGTCCAAGACAGGTTCCCTTAATGTGGCCATGCTACCTCGACTGGGGAGTAATTACTTTGATTGACTCTGGGTAGTAATTACTTTGAAATAGCAGCTATTTTGAAATAACTGTTTCGAAGTACGCGTTATTCCTCATGGAAAGCAGGAGTTATTATTTTGAAATAAAAGGCTTAGTAGTGTGGACGCTCTGCTTGTTATAAGGGGAGTTACTTTGAAATAACTCCCCAGTGTAGAACAGGGCTTTGATAGGATAACAAGCCTTGTGGGTGTGGGGGAAGCGGTAGATGTGGTATAGCTTGACTTTGATTAGGGTTTTGATACTGTCTCGCATAGACTTCTCACAAACAAAAGAGGGAAATGCAACCTAGATGGAGCTGCCTTAGGTGGGTGAAAAACTGGTCAGAAAATCGTTCCCAGCGAGTAGTTATCAATGGTTCACAGTCATGCTGAATGGGCGTATTGAGAGGGGATCCACAGGGATTAACTCTTGGTCCAGTTCTCTTCACTATCTTCATCAATGATGTAGATAATGTCACAGAGAGGACGCTTATAAAGTTTGTGGATGATACCAAGCTGGGGGGAGTTGCACGTGCTTTGGAGGGTAGGATTAAAATTCAAACTGATCTGAACAAACTGGAGAAATGGTCTGAGGTGAACAGGATGCAGCTGAATAAGGACAAATGCCAAGTCCTCCACTTAGGGAGGAACAACAGTGGCACCCAGACAGGATGGGACATAGGTGCAGGGAGCAGGGGTGCGGGGAGTACTGCGGCACTCCTCAGTTTTGCACCCAGTGTCCTGACCACTCCACTGCCGGCCCTGAAGGTTCTGCTGCTGGCCCCAGAGTCCTAGCTGCCCTCCCCGTGTGACCCCACTGCCAGCCTGGGGCATTCCTCTCTGCTATTGGCCCTGTGCCCACAGACTCTGCTCCCTGCCCCAAGGACTCTGCTGCTACCCCCAGCTGTAAGGAGAAGTGAGGGGTGCAGACAGGGCTGGGGAGGCAGCTTAGCACCCCCACTCCAAGAATTGTTCCAGCGCCACTGAAACGGGAAGCGACTGTCTAGGAAGGAGGCCTGCTGAAAGGGATCCAGGGGTCATAGTGGACCACAGGCTAAATAGGAGTCAACAGTGGGACACTGCTGCAAAACAAACACAATCTGGGAGGCATTGACATCAGTGTTTAGAGCAAGACACGAGAAGTCATTCCTCCGCTCTACTCTGCGCTGATTAGGCCTCAGCTGGAGTATTGTGTCCAGTTCTGGGCACCACATTTAAAAAGAATGTGGAGAAATTGGAGAAGGTCCAGAGAAGAGCAACAAGAACGATGAAAGGTCTAGAGAACATGAGCTACGAGGGAAGACTGAAAGAATTGGGCTTGTTTAGTTTGGAAAAGAGAAGACTGAGAGGGGACAGGACAGCAGCTTTCAAGTACCTAAAAGGCTGTTTCAACGAGGTAGGAGAAAATTTGTTCTCCTTGACCTCTGAGGATAGGACAAGAAGCAAGGGGCTTAAATTGCAGCAAGGGAGGTTTAAGTTGGACATTGGGAAAATCTTTCTACCTGCCAGGGTGGTTAAACAGTGGAATAAATTGCCCAGGGAGGTTGTGGAATCTCCATCTCTGGGGATATTTAAAAGCAGGTTAGAGAGACGTCTGTGAGGGATGGTTCTGGGTCCTGCCATGAGCGCGGGGGACCACACTACGGGTGTGTCTAGACTACATGCCTCCTTCGACGGAGGCATGTAGATTAGCCAGATCGGAAAAGGGAAATGAAGCCGCGATTAAAATAATCGCGGCTTCATTTAAATTTAAATGGCTGGGGCCCGCCCC